AGCACTAAAAACAGTCCTCTGTTATGTCCTAATTCCAGATCGAGTATGATTCGGTTCGGTTTTTATTAGTTGTCTTCAAAAATGTAAAATCTTATAACTCTATAAACATAAAGAATATTGAATGCATGTGAACAAAAAAAAATTATAATTATAGAGAATTTTTTAGTATTAAAAACTATTTTGTCCTATACATTTTTGAACAGTCCTCTGTAACAATTTGAATATCGCGCCACAAAAATATTAAACACTATTGTGGTTACATTTCGCGCGAAACAGAACGTTAACAGTGTGAAGTTTGCTCAGTCGCCATGCAAAACAAGTCGCCGCCATTTTGGGCAGTGACAACTCCGCGTCTGTGCTGGGAGCCACGTCTCTGTAGTGTTGAGTGAACATTCCTCTGGTAGGTCTATTTTACGGTATTTTATGTGCTATAATTATATTTATTTAACAATAAAATTGCTCAGTGTGATAATTTATAGCTGTTGCTGTGCTATGAAGTAATATTTAAACTGATACGGGGTATGAAATTTTTAACGTAACAATAAGAGTCCTCTGTGCAACAGTCCTCTGGAAATATATAACACAGAGGACTGTTCAATGTGACAGAGGACTGCTTTATTTGACAACCGTGTATTTTATTTATATTCTTTATAGTCTGCACTAACCTACTGCTTGCCGATAGCCTCTTTCATTCTTACATTGGTCTGTCACGCTAATTCAGATCTTCTTTTTAACCTCCGATGCAAAAAGAGGGGTGTTATTTATAAGTTTGTTTTTCGACTTATCTGTCGTTTTATTCTATTATAATGGATATTGGAATATAAAATAATACGTACCTAGTAACTACCCGTTTTTAAACCTTTACGGTTTTTTTTTATATTGAAAGTATGTTTTATTGTTTTAGTATCGCCGCAATGCCACCAAAGAAGAAACCTAAAACCAAAGAAGAAATAAAAGAGCAGAAGCGAATTGCAGAAAGATTAAAATACCAACGGCTAAAAAATCACCCTGTAAAAAGAGAGCGATTGAAGGAAAAGAACGACAAAACTACCAAAGAAAGAAGGAAAAAGGTACAAGAAAGTCAGTTAAAGATATGAGTCGACGTGAACACAAAGCTGCGACTAAAGAATGGAGAAAGCACTGTGCTACCTATCGCGCAAAAAAAAAAGCTTTGAATGAAATTACAAACAATTTTGTACGACAAAATACGCCCGAATCCGAGTGTTCACCTTCTCCTCAAAGTTCTGCCTCGCCATCAATACTACCTATGAACACTCCACGAAGTGATTAGAATGAGAATGAGTGGGAGGGGGGTTAATCACTTCGACCTTACAGATCCATTGTGTCCACGAAGTGATGCAAGTAATGCGAGAAAACGTAATGCTAGAAGAAAACGTGACAAAATTATAAAGGATAAAGACAAAAAGATGGAGTATTACATTAAAAAATCCGAGAAATATAGGAAGAGATTAGAACGTTTGGAAAAAGCTAACAAAAAGGAAAATGTAGACACACCTAACACTAAACTTACCAAAATGTGTGATTCCCCAGAAACTCGCGGAGAAGTAGTCAAAAAGGCGCTCTTCGGTGAAGTATTGAATACCCAGCTGAAAGTAAACTACGCCAATTTAAAAACATGCAAAGAAAAACAAATATTCGGAAATGTCGTGTCCGGTAAACACAAGTACAAGTTATGGCGAAGCAAAGATAGTTGTATATCTTATAAAACAATTCAGAAGTCAGCGCGTCAATCAGTTTTAGTACCCAAGCTTCGGACTCGTAAAGACAAAATTTCATCTGATTGCATAAACACTGTACGAACCTTCTATGAAAATGATGACAACAGCAGACTTGGCGCAGGAAAACGAGAATGCCTGACCAGAAAAGGGGTTAAAAAACAGAAAAGATATCTGTCGGATAGTATCGCAAACCTATACAAGAAGTTTCAAGCTGAACATTTTCAAATAAGCTACACAACGTTTTGTCGTTTACGTCCATTCTGGGTCATAACACCAAATGTAAACGAACGTGACACGTGCCTGTGTATAAAGCACGCGAACATCGACCTGAAACTGTCAGCATTGCACAGGCGAAGAATTTTGACTTACAACAGTCACACTGCACTGCTTCAAAAGACATGTTGTAATCGATATGAAGAGCTATATTTGTCACGAACCTGCCAACGCTGTATTGACAAGAATCCTGACTACAGGGAGTTTGATGACAGCAAACCTATTGAATTTAAAAAATGGATATCCGAGAAACAAACTTACAACGACCCCAAGACAAAGAATGCTCGAGCAGTTACCAAATACCTAAAGAAAACGTTCACGGTTCGCCCTCGAGAACTAATAGAAGAGCTGCACGAGGATTTGGAAGCCTATTATCAACACGAGAGAAACATTACCCATCAATACAATGCTATCAAGAAATATAAACAAAACCTTACCGACGAGACGCTATCATACATATGGATTTTTTAGAAAATTACTGTTCCAAATACGGTCAAGAAATTCAAGCATTTCACTTTGGAGGGTCGAGACTTCAGCTAAGTCTTCATACTGTGGTAGTGTATACCAAAAACTCTATCAAGTCTTATCGTACCGTTTCCAAAAATCTCACACATTCACCAGCTGCTATATGGGCACATTTACGGCCAATCTTTAAAACTCTCCCACCTAACATAAAGAGCATCCACTGCGTCAGCGATGGACCCGTAACTCAATACAGAAACAAAAAGATGTTTTACATCCTGGCATCAAGGCTTCAACAAGAGATTTTAAATGTGAAAAAGTTCACCTGGAACTATTCCGAGAGTGGCCATGGCAAAGGGGCCCCTGATGGCATTGGAGCGACCTGCAAGAGAACCGCTGATGCCGTCGTCGCCACAGGAGGTGATATTGACAGCTTGGAATCATTTGTAGAGGCCATTCAACTAAGATGTTCCTCAATTACCTTGTTCACAATCGACGATAAAGCTATCCAAGAAATGACAGACGACCTTCAAAATGAAACAGTTAATTTAAAAAGCTTTAATGGCACTCTAAAAATACATCAAGTAAAGGCTGAAATATTAAGAAGTCCTCTGGAATCAGCTCCAAGTCCCGTTAAACTCATAATGAAAAGTTTAAGTTGCACTTGTGAATACGAGTGCCAGCATTTCAATTTAGGAGTGTTAGAGTACAAAAATGAGACAAGACTTAACGTAGATGATATTTACACAGACTCTGAATGTGAAAACATGGACAACTCACAGGATTCCACAATGGAAATCGACGACGACGCTGCACTGGCTGGACCTAGTTCAATCAACCAACAGAATTACACCATCGGTGATTACGTCTTGGTTAAATTTCTAGTAAGAAACACTGAATATTTTTATGCTGCAGTAATCAGATAGACATGGAAGAAGGCGAACTAACAGTAACCTTAAAAATTTGTGATGACAAAGGACACACATTCAGAGTCCATGAAAATGATGTTTCAGATGTGTCCTTTGACCAAGTATTAAAGAAGTTGCCAAACCCAGATATTGCCCTAAAGGGGAAACGAATATTTTATTATTTTAATATACCTGTACCTGTTTTTGAGAAATAAGTCTGTATTGATAAGTAAACAAGACTGGCTAATTGTCAGTACCTAAGCTTAATTTTGATTATAATTATTTTAAATCGTTACTTAGAGAGCTAAGCTCGCAATTTGTTCCTGATAAATATAAGTATTTAAATTCTGTATGTGATACAGTATTCAATAAAAAAGATAATTTATTTGATTACATTTAATAATTAATATTGTGTTTTTCTTCATATAAAAACTATTCTCTGGGTGGAAAAAACAGTCCTCTGGGTGGCAAAACAGTCCTCTGCCTCATTTTTTTACAAAATTGCCTATAATTCAAAAAATAAGGGAAAATTACAATTGTTTCTTCTTTATATGTATTTATATTGTAACTATCTATCGACTTAACATTTATATTTATAATATTCTAGAAAAATAGGGTTGGGACAACTGTAAATAAACAAGTTTCCAGTTAGTAGAGAAAGGCCCACTTATAGGACCAAATTAATAAAAAATATAGGATCTTCTTCCGATGCGCAGTAGTGAACGCAACGGGTATCGGCAGCCAGACGGGCCGCATGCTGTTCCAGAGAGCATAGTAAAAGATATATCAAAGAGACGTCTTAAAATACTTTCCCGAAAACGTTGCTAGCTCTTAGACTATTAATCAAACTCAATAATAACAATCTATCAAAGAATGAAAAGAGAATGATATTACCATAGAAACGCGTTTTTATTTTTAACTATATTTCAGGTTACCTGATGAAAACTTGTCCTCCCCGGACAAGCCTTCCCGAAAATCCGGACAAAATCCGGACGTCATAATTTTTTAGCGATATAACAGAAAAAATAGTATAATGGAGTAAAAATTATAATTTTTGTGACGAGGCTGTACGACAAATCAAATTTGCACAAAAAACCATTTTTACTCCAATAGAATATGCTATTTTGTTTTCAAACGCCACAAATAATTTTTTAAACAATTTCAAATGTTCCAAATAAATAAGAGATTTAAATGTAATACCTTGTAAGTAATTATATACAGGGTTGTTCACCACATACGACACGGAGTATTGTAGCTAAACGATTAGATTTTTGCAAATTGTAAGTTTTGGGTTCGTTGGAGGACTATTAGAGCTACAATTTAAAAATATTTTTACAAGTTACAGAGTGGCCCAAATAAATAAAAAATACCAAAGTTGTATTTTTTTAAATGGAACACCCTGTATATTATTACATTTTTAGTTTCTACGATTAAAATAAAGGTTAATTTAATTAAGGTTTACCGCATTTAAATATAACCGTTTTTGAAATATTTAAGTTGCGAAGATTAGATTTTGAACATTCTTATCTGTTTTACGTCATACTCCTATTGATCTATATCGGTTGTCTGTCTGACACAAGTGTCGCCATACCTACTATACAGTATTTAAGGACATAAATAACAAGAATAAAAATATTGTCTGTATTTGGTTTGGTTTAGTAATTTTGTAAATACATACTTATGTCCATTGCAAATTGTAAATTCCTTTAACAGTTATTTTGTAAATTCTTGTCCTTTTGTAGATACACTCCCTAAGGTATACATTTCCAGGTTCAAGAATGATTCCATCTAAAACCAATGAAATTATAAATTAATTAAAGAATAAAAAATCAGCTAGAGACAGTAACATTCCGATTCAAATACTTAAGTAAATTGCTGATCTCTTATTGCCGCCTCTCACATACATTAAGTTTTCAAACTGGTGTATATCCTTATCTCTGAAAAATGCTCTTCCCAAACATGTACAGGGTGTCCCACTAAGAATAGCTCTCGGCTGTATCTCGGAAAGTATCAGCCGTAGGACCTGCGGAAAAAAAATATTTATAACTAGAGAGGCTATGAGAAATTGCTGGAAATTATTTACAAGTATGTAGAACAGCCGCTAGGGGGCGCAACTGCAACAAAAAATAAGAAAATGTAGTTTTTACACAATTTTGCCTAGATAAGGTGTATTATAAGTAATAGCTTCATAATCTTCAGTAAATTTTGAATATTTTTTGTTAGAACCATTTTCCCCTATCTACCAAAATAAAGTGGTGGGGGGATGTTAGATCTGTTTTTATTTAAATTTTAATAACTCCGGACTGGATGATCGGAATCCAACAAGCGAGGGCTCGTTTAAAAGAGCGATTCTTACTCTATATTGTCCCATATAAACAATAATAATAAGCTTTTAAACGCAGGCGCTAGGGGGCGTTGTCTTACAATTTAACAAATATTGCGCGTTTTTTCAAAAAAAAAATAAATGCGATAGTATATGTAATTTCAGCTGATACGAGTAATAAAAGCTTAACAAGTCAGCGAAAGCCGCATCTTGATATCTTTTTTCAACTCAAAGTTATTAGCAAAATTATAATAAATACGAAACTATAAGCCTTAATTACCTTATTTTTCTAACACGGTATTAGTAGCCCTCTTGATTATAAACATTCTGACAAAAAATAAGATAGAAATGATTAGATTATTCTAAAATCGACAATATACCAGAAGACCATAATACCAGATCTATTAATATCTAATAATTAAGATATCAATGACAGTTAATATGAAACGACGCCTCAGTGAAGTCATGGTAGGCTTTGGAAAAAAATTGCTTTTGACGTAATAGTATAAACGTCAAAGTGTTATTAGATCAACATTTTGATAGTCTTAGCAGCGTTTTTTCTCTGTTAAAGAAAGGCATTTTTAGAAAAGCAATCAAAAGATAAAAAAGGCTGCTGAGACTATCAAAATGTTGATATAATAAGATTTTGATGTTTAAACTATCCGTTTAAAAGCAACTTTTTTCCAAAGCCTACCATTGAATTCACTGAGGTGTCGTCTCTTGTCCGTCATCATTAGTATCTTAATTATTAGATATTAATACACCTAGTATTATGGTTTTTTGGTTCACTGTCGATATTTTGAATAAAATAATCTTTTTTATATTATTTTTTATTAGAATGGTCATAATCAAGACGACTAGTGATATCGTGTTAGAAAAATAAGGTAAGTAAGGGCTTATATTTTCGTATTTATTATAATTTTGCTAATAACTTTGGTTTGAAAAAAGATATCAAGATGCGGTTTTCGCTGACTTGTTAAGCTTTTACTACTCTTTACTATCAGCTAAAATTACATATACTATCGCATTTAATTTTTTTCAAAAAACGCGCAATGTTTGTTAAATTGTAAGACAACGCCCCCTGGCGTCTACGTTCAAAAGCTTATTATTATTGTTTATATGGTACAATATAGAGAAAGAAACGCTCTTTTAAACGAGCCCTCGTTTGTTGAATTCGGATCATCCAGTCCGGTGTTATTAATATTTAAATAAAAATAGACGTAACCTCCCCCACCACTTTATTTTAGCAGATAGGGAAAATGGTTCTAACAAAAACGAGCCAAAATTTAGTGAAGATTATGAAGCTATTATTTATAGTACATCGTACATAGACAAAATTTCTTAAAAATTCCATTTTGTTATTTTCCATAGCAGTTACGCCCTCTAGCGGCCGTCCTACAAACTTGAAAATAATTTCCAGCAATTTCTCATGGTCTCATTAGTAATAAATATTTTTTTCCGCAAACTCTACGACTAATACTTTCCGAGATACAGCCGAGAGCTATTCTTAGTGGGACACCCTGTACACAGAAAAAAAAATAAGTGGACCAAATTCATAATTTTCAACAGACCTATAAAGACATATAGATTTTTAATTTCTGATATACAAAGAGTACCTAATTCTGATATACAAAGACATTAATAGACTTTTGACTAAAAACCCTGATTTTTATAATAAACCTTCTATTCAAATTTTTTAAAAAATAAAAAAATTATTACTTGTTAAGAGTAGGACAAAAAATAAATAATCAAATTTAATATTATCTGACAACACTTAATTTTGCTAAAACAATTTTTTTGAGAATAGATACAGGGAACTTTAACCTACATCTTTGTAGATCTAAAATCCTCTGATTTTCAACTCAGGTGTAATCTAATCATCTAATCTGTATCCATAACTGGAGAAACTAGAAATCTCGCTAGAAATAGAGATACCTACAATAGTCTAGTCCACAAAGTAGATTTATTAAATATTCATGTTCTTTCACTTTCAAAATACTGTATTATTTAACTTGAAACATTTCACCAAATTTTAGAAAAATATTGTAGAGAAAAAATTTTTTATAGCAGTTAACCCTTAAGTACTAACACCCCGTCTCACAGACGCAACGGACTAGCTGGACATATAACATCTCCCCTCCTCTCCGCTTCTAATTATCATCCAACTATGTAATTTCAATACGCATCAAAACAAGTTAAAGGACGACAGGGCAATTTGCGAAAGTGTGTAGTTTTCGAAATATTTTAGATCAAACTGTCGATGCCGTCTGACAGACGGAGTGTTAGCGTTAACGTAAGTTTTTTTTTTAATTTGTGGAATGAATCAAGCCCTAGTAGCTCAAAACATGTGAAGTATGGCGAACAAAATTACAAGGATACTCTTCTAAAGTGGTTTGAAGAGACTGGAAACGATAATAGCAAAATAGTGACACAGAATCCGAATGTGGCGAAAATTTTGCCATAGAGAGCGATCATAATTCTGAATTCGAATTAGAAGGTAAAAAAATATTTTTTAACCAATATCTAATGGTATGTAGCTGTGTATGTTTGGTTAGAGATTTATTTATTTATCAACGGGCTAAACAGCCCAATAAAATAACAATAACAAAAATGACAAAAATAGTAATAAGACAAGAATAAAGTAGGATTTATAAACTCACAGTTGGATTTGGCTTTGGCGTCGCCGCCCAATTCTTAAAACCATGGTACAAAGAATACAAGGTATGATATTGCGCAGGTTGGTCGCTACGTCACAGGTGATAACAGGCGCTATTGGTCAGCACGCTCCGCGCGCCAGTTCAAATCGTCAATATATTGTTATAAACCTGTTTTTTTGTTTACATACCGTCATTGAATTATCGCTAAGCAAGCTACTGTGGAGCAGTGCGTAAGGAGTCGGGCTAGGAAGCGAGAGACCGGAGTTCGAATCTCGGCCGGGACATCTACATATAAAAAGAAGCACAAGTCACTAATTATAATAAACTTCACCCTTGGTATTACTTCCACTAATTATAATAAACTTCACCCTTAGAATTACTTCTATCACAATTACAATACGTTCATCTGCATTGGCATTTTCTACTTCTCGATGGGAAACAATAAACTTCCCAACATTTTTTAAATGATGTAACAATTCCTCTTGTGGTTACTTTTCCATAGATATCCTCAACTCTGTCCTCATGTGAATTCAGAGGCAATGAAAATGAAAATTATTTACCATGAACATCACAAACTAAAAACCTAATAAACAATTTTATACCGAATATAGAAATAAATTTAGTATTCTTACGTATCGTCCAAATCCGTGTTAATAGATAATTATTATTTTTAAATATATTTTTAGAACTGCTGGTTTTAGTAATTATTAAATTAAACGAACTAAAAAGTCTTAAAAATAAACAATTCTTAACCATAACCCCAAAAAATGCAGATCTCCTGTCAACTTTCTTTATTTTTTTTACTCATTATTTTCCTAGTGACGTCACAGGTGGTATGCGCGAACTGAACGAAATTGGAGCCGTTATCGATCATACCTTGTATTCTTTGTACCATGTCTTAAAACTGTATATTACCATAAGAGCATTTATAAACACGGTTGGCTTTGGCTTTGGCGCCCGGTTGCCGTCGGACTTGAATTATGTTTAACTTTAAAATATATCAAACGAGACGAGAGATGATGAAAATATGGATGTGAACGATCAGTAGACTAATATCGAAGAAAGTGAAGAGAACAATTTGTTTGGAATGCGCAAAAAAGTGTTTAGGGAACGAGCCCATCTTTAGGCATTGTCATTTTTTTATTCTTTATATTTTCTTTTGCTTTTTTGTGCTTAATAGATAGGTTTTCATATGCTAAATATAAGAATAAATATATTTTTTCATTTTCCTTTCGTTTTTTTTTCTATCTCGATGAGAAACAAAGATATGTCAAAAATCCAAAACTAATACATTTATTTCAAAAATATAAAATATGTTCGCATAATATAAGCATTAGATATTTTTTTCCTGTAGTTTTAATGCTAATGATTCACTCCACTTACAAAAAATCTGTTAAACACAAACAAAATATGTATTTTTTTAATGCGTCTCTCAGACGGTCTGTTAGTATAGGCGCGACTATTTCAATATGTTAGTACTTAAGGGTTAAATAACACCTTTTCAACATATTAAGTACATATAGGGTTGCCAACCATCCTCTATTCCAGAGGATAGTCCTCTATTTGATCTTATTGTCCTCTTTTCTCTCACGTGTTGAAAAAGTCCTCTTTTTTACATACCAAACTCAAAATCAAAAAAATATTTGTCTATCGCCACAAGTCTTTAAAAAATCTGTGCTTTCACTACTCCCACTCGTTTGTACAGAAAAGAAAATAAAGAAATATTTATATATAAGAAATATTTGTAGAAGCAATAAACATGTTTCACTATTTTATGTTTGTTTATTTACTGTTAGCTTAGGTTTTAAGGTTCCCAACCATCCTGGTTGATACCGGCCAAACCGGGATGGTTGGGAACCCTAAAACCTAAGCTAAAACCAATCAGAAAGTTTGTCCCGGCGAAAGTTTTACCGTGGCCAGGACCTGGAAACTAAAAAAGTGTGTGCTAAACACATAATATATTTTAATTTCTAATATTTAATGTTTTGTTTCAATTATTTAAAAGCTTAAAAATAGTCCCAGAATCGCCGATGCTCAAGTTGGGAACCCTATTAGGTTTTGAAAAAAAAGTTTTGTTTGAAAATGGTTTGTTTTAGTTTAACAAAGTTTTGAATATAAAATTTTTAAGAAAATAAGAAAGACCATCAATCGCATACCGTTCTTGACATAAGTTTTTGATAAATACTAGACATTGGGCGAGGTTTCAAAAAATATTTCGCCTGTGCCTCTTTTTTACCTTCTCGTCCTCTATTTTTTATTTTGAAAGTTGGCAACCCTAATTAAGTATGAGTTGAAAACGTTGGAAAAAAATCTTCAAGTGAGCTCTATTTCTATTAATTATGAAAAAAAAAATTGGCCTGAGTCCTGAGATAAAATACAATAGTATACAATAGGCTAAGGTCCTTATCGAAATAGGCTATAAATATTTTTGAAAAAAAAATGAACTTATGAGGTTTTCAAAGTAAAGTTAGGTTAGAATATCTTTTTAAAAAATGATTAATGAATTAACCTATGCTTTTTTATGTATTGCTTTTAAGATTATTTACATTATTACTATGTTACTTGTAATTACCGATACAAAGATGTGGAACATAAATCTTGCTTAAGTTGTGGATGTAGAATACAATGCCTATGGATGGTTACAATTTATTGTAACTTATTTAGGTACCTATATCTAATATCTTCAAACATTCTTTCAACACAAATTTCTACATCTTAAACATGGGCACTAAAAGGAAAATGAGATTCTTCTGTTGAAAGCAAAAAGCACCATACTTAAAATCAATAGCCCTTCTTCTCCAGGCCAGAAATCAGTCACCCATTCACCTTCACCACGCACAAGCTTTGTTAAACCTTTAAATAATTACGACGCGTTCGTATTTTTTCACTTTAAGACGTATAAAATAAAAATAAATGTTTAACGACTAAGCTCAGAAACTTAATTTTTTCACAGAATGGCTTTTATAATAGTTTGCAAAAATAATAAACCCCCACATCAAAACATTAACACATCTTTCAAAATTTGAAGACAAAATAAACGTCAAAGAAACTCGGAAAACTACCCATAGAATAGAAAACAACATTACAATATCCCTAACGAATGCAATATCCCTTGAATAAAAGTAACTGCAGAGTGCAGACATGAGCTTGTCAGTATCTGTGGTCGTATAGGGTCGTAATTCGTAATGTTTGAAACAGGTTTGAAACTGTTTGAAACTACCGTATGATCGAAAAAAAAACAGCGTCCAGTTGGCTAGGAAGTGACGATCGATGACATTTTCCATATAATTTTAGGTAAAGGTGTGGATCGGGTGGCTGACCTTGAAGCCAATATTTGCTGCATTTGATCATCGATACTACACAAGCGCACATGGTCAATATTGCCAAATTGCAATTTATTTTCGAATTATTTTAATTAAAAACAAATGTCTTTTGAGTATTAATCAGTATAATAATAATACAAATTCTATAATTAATTTTATAATTTCAGATTTATCTTGATATCAAAAATTAAGGTAAGAAGGATAATGGAGATTGTGAAGTTAAGGTCAAAGCACACATGCAACAATGGTATAAGTAATATGGTATAAATAATATGGTATAAGCCACATGCAACAAGCTATCACCTACGATCTTTCAGTCTAGCAAACTTAACTTCATGCGCGCGCATTATGACCGCTGTTTTCGAATAACGGGAAAGGTGTATTATGTTTTGGATTTTGAAAATTATTTTTTGGTTTATCAAAAACGTTATTACACTGGTCATAAAGTCGCTCAAAATTCTCAAATTCGGTTACGTACGCAATTGCGTCTTCGAGACTTTTTGGTGTTTTCATATGCATGTTATTTTTAAGCGTCCCTGTACAACCAGCTATGAAAGTGTTTAAGGCTGTTTTATCAAAGTAACTAATGTGACATAATTTTTGTTCCCTATTTAAATTTGTGTCATTACTAACCCTTTGTATGACATTGCTTCTTAACAATTGTAATCTACTCCCGAAATTTAACAAGTGTTCGTTTTAAAAGGCCTAGTTCTGGTCAGTTCTTACATGCCAAACAATCGATATCGCGACGATCAGAAAAACATTGTATTAAAGCATTTTTTAAACTAACCCAATCATTGAGTTCGGCGCGATTACCGACCATCACCTCAGCTCTACCTATTAATTTTTCTTGTATACATTCGAAAATATGTTTTTCCAAATCTGAACTATTCATAGAAGAATAACTATCAATAAAACTTTCACATCTCTTTATAAATTTGTTTAAAGTGTTACTATCTCCGTCAACATTTCTTATATTGTCCAATTTAGATTTAAACAATTCCCAATTTATTTTTTAATTCGGTCATTTTGGTAGAAATAGTACTACTTTTCACTGGATTTTTTGGAAAAAAGATAAATTGTCAAATTTACCTATAATATCGTCTAAATCGGTCATTAACTTATGATCTAAGAAAATAAAATATATTTAATTTTATATAGCAGTTAAATTGTTATAACTAAAATCAAATATTACGTTTTTTATTAAAAGAAAATTACGTTCTTTTAGTATTATTATATGATAAAAAATATTTTTATTTTAGATTTATTTAATATTGATTATTGATTGATTTTTCCTAAAAACTATTCTTAAAATAAATTCTCACAATGAGTAGCGAAAGGGGTTGCGCAATGCAAAGCTTAAATTATCCCAACCGAACACCTTAACCAGAGGGCGGAATGGGGCGAAAAGGAAAAATGCACTTACAGTTTGATGCCGAAGTACGTCGTCATTTTTCCTTTCCTGATTCCCTGTCGTTGTTGTTGTGGACTCTGCTGCCGTTTTCTGGGGTTGTTCTCCCTCGATCCGTGCTTAAGGGTAGATACCACAAGTGGAAAACTAGTCCCGATATTCACTCGATTTTCTAGGATCTCCACCGCACATCCTACCGACTGCGCCAATTACGTTTTAAGAAAACAGGAGAGTCTTTTTAAAAAATAAAGTTTCAATTTTATTTAATAAAGTACAAGATGTTTACTGTAAGAGCAAAGACAATGGAATGATTTTTAACAATGAGAAAAGAGTCTCCTCGGCTTGGTGAAGGCTTCGTGGAAACTGCAAGGACCGCATCTTCCCATCAGGATGACCTCATCTTTTTGAGATTTTATCTGTTTATCTTTGAAATCGATCAACTTATAAGTCATTCTGTTTCTTTGATATTATCAGTACATTTATCATACGCGAAAAAAGAACCTAAATCAACCTAAACTAAAAATTTACATTTCCGTATTAACATACGTTACTTATACCCTTCTTATATTATTAATTTATTTTCAGAAAATCTTTTTTATTTTTCAAAGAAATACACTTGGCAACAGAGACAAAATGGGACTTGATGGGACCTTTAAATTTTAATATATCTGCGTCTCTCTCGCGAAATTCGACTTCTTTGTTCACTGTTGTCTCTTGTCTTATCTACCCTTTGGTAGTAGGTACTTCAATACATCAATACATTTAATCAAAACTATTGTTGCCTGTAAATAACCAGAAATTAAATAACTTGAAAGAAATAAAATAATTCTAATAAGTTTAAAACCATTAAGAAAAAATCCGTAAATGATAATTTTTAATTCTAATGTAAATATATAAATAAATGTTATTATTATTACAATTTTATATATTCATAATACTTTCATTTCACAATCTTCATTATCCTTCTTACCTTAATTTTTGATATCAAGATAAATCTGAAATTACAAAATTAATTATAGATTTTGTAAACATTTGTTTTTAACTAAAAATAATTCGAAAATAAACTGCAACTTGGCAACATCAACGATGTGCGCTTGCGTAGTATCGATGATCAAATGCAGCAAATATGGGCTTCAAGGTCAGCCACGGGATCCACACCTTTACCTTTAATTTTATTGACAATGAAAATACATAATAAGTGTTCACGTGTTGTGCGAAATATTAAAATAATAATATAAATAAAGGTAAAAGTGTGGATCCGGTGGCTGACCTTAAAGCCCATATTTGCTGCATTTGATCATCGATACTACGCAAGCGCACATCGTCGACGTTGCCAAATTGCAGTTTATTTTCTAATTATTTGCAGTTGAAATTTTTTTTTTGAGTGTTAATCAATAATAATACAAATTCTATAATTAATTTTATAATTTTTTACATTAAAATTAAAAATTATCATTTACGATTTTTTTCTTAATGGGTTTAAACTTTTTAGAATTGTTTTATTTCTTTCAAGTTATTTAATTTCTAGTTTGAAATACTACCATGACGAATCTTATAGAACAATACACGTCAATGGGAGATAGAGGTAACATATTTTACCTATAATGTTACTAATATAATATACTTTGATTGTAATGTTTGTATCATTATTTCTTAAAAATATCAAGTTAGTGGATTAATAGCAATTTTAGATATATATTTTATCGAAGAGTGTGTTGATAAGACTAAAATAAGCTTTATGTTTTATCTTTTTCTCTTTAGAAGGGAGATGGTTTGTGTCGTAGAATACATTACAGTATTTAATATCGTGTACTTTGATATTATTTTCTTAATTTACTGTAATTTCGTTTCCTATAATGCCAAATTTTGACAATATGGTGAAGTTTTGATCCATGTTTTGATCTTATTAGTTTTATACCTGTGTTTATACAAGAGCAAATTAAGACTTAGTTTGTGATTTATATTAAGATGTTTCTTATAATATTTGTTATGTCTTAATTTTAATACTATATTATGCTTTGTCTGGAAAATAAATGTTAAAATATCTTAATTTTGCATATCCTATTCCATCCTTCCATTAGGAAAAATATGGTTTATAAATCACATTATGCTAAGAAAATCACATAAATTAGGTGTAAGAATAGAGAAATCTTAAGGTAGCAGAAAAATTAATGCAATATATGTATAAGCAGAATTAAACAAGGTAACTGGTTAATGTTGCTGAAGCTGATTCTACAATTTTAATTACGGGGGCTCCGTAGTTTTGATGGAATGTTAAAAAAAACCTATTATGTATGAACATGACATGGAGCTACAGCATTTAAAAATTAAAAAAAAGAAAAAACTTGGACATATTTTTTGCCCGAATTTTCAATAAAGCCGTTTTTAAACGTAGCATAATAATCTAGAGCAATTAGATTAATTATAGAAATCTAGAGTTTTATTTCTATTTAATTTTATTGACTATGAAAATACATAATAAGCGTTCACGTGTTGTGCGAAATATTAAAATAATAATATAAATCCTTGATATAAAAAATAATATACCGCGGACTATGATTGAAAAAAATAGCGTCACCGATGACTATGAAATGAAGATTGCTGTCATTTTATATGGGAAATGTCCTCAATCGTCATTTCCCAGCCAACTGGACACCGTTTTTTCGATCATGCCGTATATATTGACAAAAAACACTGAAAAGCACATATTTGTTTTCTACTGAAAATAATTCCAAAATAATTTACAATCTGGCAACATAGAAGATGTGCGCATGCGTAGTGTCTGTGACTATACTTGTATTCATTTAAAACTTCCCAATATGGCGGACTTCAGTATGGGAGGCTTAAAAAACGAAAATCTCTAGACTGGAATCGACTGTAGTTCAAATCGTTCAAATTGATAATCTGTGGTAAATCCAATTGAACTCTGACACTTGGCTGACATTGACGTTTACGGTTCCTTTTTCTAAATATTTTCATTATTTTTTTAGTTTTTATTCACAAATTCTACTTGATTTTGTTCTTTTATTTAACCTGCAACCTGCAGTACTAATTATATAGTTATAAATAATCTTTTCACCGATCAAGAGTTGACGAATAGGCTGGAAGATATTCAAAATGTGTAAATCGCTTAAAAACGTATTAGAAAACATTGGCTCGTTCATAAATTCGTGAAAATAAATTAGTCCAGATGTTTGTAAAAGGTATTATTATAATTATTTTGAGAAGTTTCCTCGTATCAGTAATTTTCAGGTTTGTAATATCTACTATATGATAATAAATAGATTAAAACTTATATTTCAGGAAACAGCGCGGGCATTACAGATTGTTGTAAATCAGTTTTAAAATATAAAGAAGGTTTAAAACAGGTTTAAAAGTTGAGTTGGTAGAGAAGACCTAAATAAGGTAATGTTGGTAATGGGACCAAACATCAAATAACACTTGAAATATATAATTATGTACAATAATTGTAAGTAGTTTTTATGAATCTGTTTGATATCTATTGCATTGTTTTTATATTTCTTGAAATATTTTTTTACTTTACAGGATACACAAGGAATAATAAAAAATACAATTACTCACTAAAAGCACTTAAGGTTTGTAATAGATGTAGTTAGAATATCAAACACCAAACTAAACCAAAAATTATGTTTTATTTTACTGGTATTCCTCACATTTGAAGGGAAAGTCATTTCATAAATAAGCAGGACATTGTATAGTACACTCTATATTAATAATTGTTTTTTATCCTATACTTGTTAGTTAACGCATCACTTACTCGGTATAAAATTTAGTACAGATTAACCTATAGTTGTGGTTGTGATATATTCTGATGTGTTTCTGGCAATTTAAAATAAGTTAATATTTAAACAAACATTTCTGGATTTCCTGGCAGGAGTGTGGACACAAATTTAATAAAGGTATAATGTGGATAATGTTCTGATTATTACAGTTTGCATGGATGTTTTGGTATGTTGTTATTTTTAATAAAGTATATTTAATGAGTTTTTGAGTATTTCTTTTTCCTTCAGAGGATTGTGTTCTAATCTTTATATATTATAAATTTTCATAAATTATATATACAAAATTTATTACCTTATAATTTTTTGCTAAATACTTTGTAGTTGATACAGTTTAATAGTATATAAAAGAACTATTTAAATAAGATGTTTGAAAATATATAGCTGTTTTTGCACACATCAATTTAATTTGTGATTAACTGTACTGAAAAAAAAAATTAAGAGAAATGGGGTGATTTATCAACTACAACATGAAAAGCATCATCCTATTTCCAAGTCTTCTATTAATTTCACTTATTAAACAACTATAATTATTCAATAATCTTGATAGTTCTAGGAACTCTCAGATATCGTCAAAACATGAAAACAAAAATTTACTTCCTATAGTTCTTACGTCCCCTTAACTGAAATATAAGAAATAGGGGAGTTAATATTCTCACTGAGAAAGTTTATAAAATACCTTTAAGTTAAATCTCTTCGGATCTGCGGTAAAATACCTTTATTCTTATTAAATAATTTCAATAATCTATGTTTTTATTTATGACAACCACCTAATAACCTAACTTTAACGTCAACTTGACAATCCTGAAAAATGTTATTGTTAACCAAAGACTAAATCAATTTCTTAATTCGCTAACGCCAACTTATTTTTCATTAAAAAAAAATTACCAATTTTCCTAACTAGGTCGGCCATATTGAGGAACTTTTAAAAGAATTGTACTATATATGCAGTAAAAACTCGTTTCAAGGTCAGCCACCGGATCCATACCATTACCTAAATAAAATATACCTAGTACCAGGTGGATGACACTTCTTATGGGAGAACTGGAAATGGTTGAAAACTTGACTACAAGCGATTTTCTAGGAATCTTCTTTACCGATAAATTATTGACAAGAGTGACAGATAAAACCTTGACATTCTTTCAGTATAACTGTTCAGCTCTTTTTCTTTCTAAAGTGTGCGTTGAAAGGAGACAAAAACAATTTTTTGCAACCCATAAATTGTTATTCGAACACCACTTTTCTCCTTGTCGGGTCGTTGACGTTGACTTGTCGCCATTTTATTTCTTTTGTTTACACTATGGAGGGCTTAAAAAAGGAGATTTATCGGCAATGGGCAAATTTGAAATTTCTGTCCCCACTTTTAAGCAGCTTCCTCGGTTTGACAGCAGAGGCACTGCGATCGACTGGGATACTACATTTTCATTGTTAGTATACGATTTAATTGTGTTTTTAATAAAATTTATAGTTAATTTACTGAATTTTTAGCAGTACAACAATGAGTCGTGGTAGAAATTGCTTTGTACCTGGCTGTACAAGTGGGAATCCCAATAAAAACAAGGCAAATAAAGAACGGGGTGAAAGAAACCCAAGCCTTTTCAAAGCTCCTAATGTAAGTAGTATGACTATTTATTTATAAAAATTATGGATAGATGTTAAGAAAAACATTAAAATTATATACTGTCAGTGTACAGATTAAATTATAAACCAAATTAATAGGAAATATAGCCTAAAATCAACATGTGTATAACATAACCTAGGAGGCCTTGTTATAAAATTAAAATAATTTAATACTTACTAGGTGCTAAAATTACCTGTTGACATGTACCTATATTAACCACAGTTTGAACAGTGCTATTGAAAGTGAATATTAAATATTTATACTTCAAGATCGTATTCTCAAAATAACAGCTTTAATAGTGAAAAATGTTTTTTTTTTATTTTATTTAACAATTATATATCTTTTATTAGGATCCTAGCTTGCTACAGCAGTGGCAAAAGGCGATACCCAGATCAGACAAGACACTTAGCAGCAAAGATGCTGTTTGTGAACTATATTAGTTAATAGAAACAAAAGTTGTAATGTATTAATATTGCTAAATAAATATTTATATGATGAAATAAGTCAGCGTATATACATATTCACAACTCTGTATTTTTGTGCTTTTGAAATAAACTGAGTACATTATTTATTCATTAATATTTTATTTACAAACCTACCTTATATTAATAAAGTGAATATCAATAGAAAAACCTTTACAATTATTAGGTGACATTGAATATAATATATCTTGAATTTAATTGTCTACGAAACAGTGACAATTTGCAAAACTTTGCTAATGACATTAAAACTTACAATTCAACGCTAGAAAAAACGCTATTGAACACAGGAAACGTTTCAGCTCAATATACCTACTCTCTAGTTTCAGCTATAAAAAGTTATGGAATAGATAACACCGATCAAAGGGTGCAATGGTAACGTTCGTCTTCAGTTTCCATTTATGATTAAGTTATTCCTGATAAAATACTCTTAATTTTCGTTATTCAATCTGTCAATCGCCATAAAACCACTACTAGTTCGAAAGATTTTAATGTTTATTAAAATGGTATCACACTAAACTGCATGTAAACATGTCAATTTCAAATGTTTTAATGAAAAACTATGAACCTTTAAACTGCATCAACAAAACTATTAATAAAACACTAACACAATCACACCATAAACTATTTCATTCGCATTTCTCATCAAGAAACAATTACTGTTTACATCAAATCAAAGGTTGAACTGGTGATAAATTTGTTGCTGGAACTTCTATCTTTTTTGTACAACAGTTCTAGGGAAGATTTATTTTAGCAGCTTATATGTTTCTTCGGTCGTGTATGCACTAAAAAGAACCACATAATAAAACATTTTTATAATATCAACTTAGGAAAAGGATATATTAAACCGGCATCTAATATAACCTAACTAACTTTTCAAACTCAAATTTAAGGTTTTGTATTCACAATTTTAGCCACGCACATTGCTCAATTAGAAAAACCACGTTTCTAAAAGCTAACTCTGGTAAAAATATGCCCAAATATTAACTTGGCTCTATAATTTATAACAAAATAGTTATTCTTGCCATAAGAAGCTGTGTATTTCTAGTATCCCAATCATCACAAGCGCCCCTAACGGCGATTTTCGAACTTCATTTAGATCTCAAAACTGGGCCCATAATTTTGCACTGATCTTTGCCTCCTCCCCTTTTTAGACTCCATAGTTTATACCATAAAGCAACTAAAATAAAAGAGGTTTGAAAGTTGCTATCAACTTGGCCATAATGTTGCATAGTTCAGTTAGGGCTCCAAAGCGTCGCCATCTGCTACCTGCCACGTGTCATGGCAAGATTGACAAGAGTGACATGACAGCAAATTATTTGTATTTTGGGATTTTACAATTGTTTACAATTTTGTTTTGAATTTTGGAATTTTGTTATTATTTTGTGTAGCATATACTTTGTTTGTTTGTTTTGTGTTTCTGCATGCAGAAATTATGGAGGAAGTTTTATTTCCCGAGGAACCAGAGACCTTATATTTCTTTATGATTGGAACTTTATGTTTTGTGCTATGTGTTTTGCCGTCATCATGTAGTATTTTGTTCAGCCGATGATGTGATTTGTGATTTGAACATCATCCAGGAAAGGGTATCATGCAAAGCAAGTTCAATATGTAAAGACATTGCCCATCTCTGAACTCTGTGAACGTAAAACGAACTGACTATAAATTTGCGCCTTCATTTAATAGTGTTGAACATTTGCTACATCAACTGAACTTCAACTGCTGACTGCTGAGTTTATAAATCCAACTTAAAGGTGAATTAATTTTTGATGATATCTTATTTAAATCTTTATCTGTTATAATAGCATAGATTGCAAACCCTGCGATCTTATATGCTTTGTTAGTGGCGTTGTTAAATACGTTTTATAATACTATAGGTAAATCGAAGGGTAAATCGCTGGTGTATTTTGGTGGTGTACAAGATGTTGGCATTTTCGTGGCATTATTGGTATTAGTACTAAATTATTTGGCATTACCTTGGCATTAGTGTACAGAAATTCATCAGGAGTTTACCCCTCGAAGTTAATTCAGCATATATGTTTTATATTATCAAATTTAATTTAGCATTTAACTGTAAGCATTTGAAAAGTCTACAATAGTTTATACTTTTCAAATATTCCGTTTTTAAAAATAAACTTTCGTTATATTTTTGCAGTTTTAATTTCGTAATATTTTAAAAAATACATAAAATTTTATATTCACATTTAAACAGCCCGCCTTTTTTGTGGTAGGCAATGCAGATACCTATTTTACCGATAAGGTCTGTCATATTTCGATTAGTTCAGTTAGGGCTCAAGGGTGCGCTACAATCGATCCTCGTTAAACGTGTTGCCTACTTTTGACTATGGAAATGACAACTCTTTTATTTTATATTTCTCTATGGTTTACACGTTGCAGTTTGCTTTGTAAATTGAATACTTAAATTATTTAGGCAAATATAGGTTTTTGATAAAACTCCTTGGACTAACGTGTAGGTAAAAGGCCCGTATTTATAGTTGCATCTCGAGACGCCAAGACGGTCTTGGGCTCTCGAGAGCGGAATCCACAGAATACACGAGCAAACGTCATTTTGGAGATTGCGATTTTCATTTTGGATAGTTTATGTTTATGGTTTATGTGATCTGTGGATAGTTTCTTAACCTAACTTTTTTAGTAAACAAAATAAATGCCTTGTAAATCCGTTTTGTCTGATTAAACAGTTTTGAATATGTTAGATGAGTTTGAGGATATTTTGGACTTTTGGACCATGTGGAAGAAAAAAATCGTCTTCGAGTTCCAAAACGATATATAAGGGATGCAGGAAATCCAATAGAAATGTTTAGCGGGGGGGAATTTAAATACCGATATAGGTTTAGCAAGGCTACAATTACAGAAACTATTTTACCTCTTGTAATTGAAGACTTGCAAAAACCTACCAATCGTGGTTTACCTGGGCAAATATTCCCCCCCTTTATTCAATTATTAATTTGTTTACGGTTTTATGCGACTTCTAATTTTCAGATAGTAAGTGGGGACTTGCATGGTGTTAGCCAACCTACAATAAGCCAGATTATCAAGAGGGTGTCCATTTTAATAGCAGAACAATGGAAAAAATGAGTGAATTTGTGTGATACAACCATAAATGGTTGAACAGCATTATTATTCCAATGATACTGGCTTCGGCTTGTGCAGATGATGACAACAAATATTAAGGATACATATATTAAGAATAAAGAAAGAGCTATAAATACATCTGTGAATAAATTCACTGGCGAAAAACACCTGATTTATTATATGGACACATTCCGAGGACTGAAGTTTTATTTGAAGATAGACAAGAGGTTATTGAAGCAAGAATTCCTAGTATGATAATGAAACGTGAAATAGGTGGTAAGAGAAGGAGGGGTAGACCGAGAATCAGATGGAAAAAGGACGTAGAAGAGGACTTGAGAAGGATAAGACTGGATGGGTGGAGAAAAAAGGCGAAAGACAGAAACAAATGGAGAAAGATAACCAATCAAGCCATGAGCGGGGTTCGGAAAACTACATGTTACTTTTAAAAACTACATAAACTACATTACATGTAGTTAATGTAGTTTATGTAGAGGGTGTAGTTTATGTAACCTATGTATGTAACTTTCAAATGTCAAAGGTTTGAGGGGAGGTTATAATAAGTTGAAGCTTTAAAAACACATAATGTATTTAAGAAAACAAAAGAAATATGGCTTTAAATATAATATTTACATCATAGTATCTCTATTATACCTCATACAAATGAAAATTATTCATAATATCAATACATAGCTTATTAACGTAGTTTTCATGTAGTTAATGACCGGGAAAAGACGTAGTTTTTGAAGAAAAACTACACGTAGTTAATCAGGTAAATTACGTCTTAGTTAACTACTTCCGAACCCTGCCCATAACCCATTCCACTTGAGTTTATGATTGTAACGCTCGCAAGCAAGTGGAACGGGAAAAATTGCGATCTTGAGCGTGAACGTTATGAGTGCTTAGTGGAACGTACTCTATGATTGAAAAAAATAGCGTCAGCGATGACTATGAAACAGGGTTCGGAAGTAGTTAATTAAGACGTAATTTACCTGATTAACTACGTGTAGTTTTTCTTAAAAAACTACGTATTTTCCCTTTCATTTAACTACATGAAAACTACGTTAAACTATGTATTGATATTATGAATAATTTTCCTTTGTATGAGGTGTAATAGAGATAATATGATGTAAATATTATATTTAAAGCCATATTTCTCCTGTTTTCTTAAATACATTATGGGTTTTTAAAGCTTCAACTTATTATAACCTCACCTCAAACCTTTGACATTTGGAAGTTACATACATAGGTTACATAAACTACACCCTCTATATAAATTACATTAACTATATGTAATGTAGTTTATGTAGTTTTTAAAAGTAACATGTAGTTTTCCGAACCCTGCTATGAAATGAAGGTAGCTGTCATTTTATATGGGAAATGTCCTCAATCGTAATTTCCCAGCAAACTGGACGCCGTTATTTCGATCATACGGTATATATTGACAATAAAACACTGAAAAGCACATATTTGTTTTCTACTGAAAATAAATCCAAAATAACTTGCAATCTGGCAACATCGAAGATGTGCGCATGCGTAGTGTCTGTGACTATATGCAGCAAAAACTCGTTTCAGGGTGCAGCCACACTATCCTAAAAACGGCGTATCGGCGTAACGGCGTAATGACCTTGAATAGATTTCCAGTAATTCTATTGGCTGAAACATTCATCTGTCAGAAATTTTATCTGTCAAATTCATCTGTCAAATATTTCAGCCAATAGAATTACTGGAAATCGATCCGGTGGCTGACCTTGAAGCCACCGGATCCACACTAGCGATGGGAACTATCGAATGAATTACACTATCGAATGGTTACTGAATGAATGATTTCAACTATCGAATGGTTTTATTCGAATAAAATCATTCATTCATTTGTATACTAAAGCATATGTGACAACCTCGCCGTGCGACTAATGGTTATCGTTGAGCCACGACTATCGAATGCTTTTGATAAATGAAATTTAGTATTCGTTTGATTTTTGTGTGCGTCAGTGCATTATTAGTTCTTCCAAATTTTTATAACTTCGCCTTATAAATACTGTGCTATTTTTGCGTTTATTAAAATATTTAAAATACTAAAATAGTAGTTTTTTTAATTGACGATTGTGTGCGTGTGCAGGTGGTCAAAATTTTTCCGAAAGTTTGTGTGATTTTCCGTAGCCCGATCTTTCAATTATTTAATTTTATATGGTATATGGTCTATTTTTTAATGGGAAATTTTGAGAAGTAGCAATTTTTAAGAGAGATGAGATGAACTTACAATTAATTTTAAAAATACATATTTGTATTTTAGATGTTTTAATAATATGAATTAGTTGAACTTAATAATTATATTAATTAATGTGGTTAAGTAAATGGTTATCGAACTCAGACTATGGGGTGAGAAAATTAAATTAAAAGTTTTACACGTGCCAATTTAAAAAAAAGTTAACGATGTTTGTATTTTGTTTATGCTAATTCTCTTACATGTAGTTTTTTGCGAAGAAATATTTCATTTATTTTTTAGTAAGTAAATACCAGTAAAAGTAAATATTATTATTATTAAATAGTAATATAAAGTACCGAATATAAATAATTTTGATTTCTAATTTTTATTTATATTTTCCTTGCATTACACTGCACGCTTAGAAAATTAATAAATGTTTATATTTCATGATTTTAAAATTTGTTGTTAATATAACAAATTAGTTCTGTAATTATTATTATTTAATAAACCAACGTTGCCACAAAAAATTGAGAGACTATATTATTTTTAAATAGGATCTAATATAAATAATTTTGACATCAAATTTGTTGTTTATATTTTGCTACTACTTAAAAAAAATGTTTATATTAAATGATTTCAAATTTTGTTGTTAATAGGTATAACAAATTATTACTGTTATTATTATTTATTAAACCAGTCTTTGCTTAAACACATTAAAAATAATTTTCCTACATCCAAAATAACAAGTATTATTGCAGTGTAACAACAGAATATTAATAAAAAAATATAAAATATATAGACATACTATCCCTAACTAACTAAGCCAAACAATAATATTTTTGCTAATATCAACTAATACCAATATATGGCAACAGCGCCTTTTATAATATATTTTCTGTGTAAATACTAGCACCTCAATAAAAAAAATAATGTGTCCTTATCTTTATCTGACTCCACAAAAAATCAAAGATGCCGCCTTCTTTTATAGCATTGCCACCGACCGCTGTCGGGTTTCTCGGAAAGAAACCTACGTCGCCGGGCGACAACTAAAATCCAGTTAATATTTTATTATAATCGATCCTGACCAATAAATGAATTTCATAAACGAATGAATTTTATAAATGAATGAATTTTATAAATGAATGGTTTTTGCTGCCAAATTACTAGAATAAAATATTTCAAGGCAGATGACGCATCTATTCGATAATTTTTATTCGAATAGTTTTCAACGAATGTTTTCTTACTAGCTATCGAATTATTCGAATGAATTGCAACTATCGAATGTTTCGATAGTATTCATTCGATAGTTCCCACTACTAATCCACACCGAAAGTCCCTAGATATATATTATTATCTAGGGACTTTATCCACACCATTACCGCCAAATTACCGCAGTGCCTCTACTGTCAAACCGAGGAACCTTAAGGGTGCAGCCACACTATCCTAAAAACGGCGTATCGGCGTAACGGCGTAACGACCATGAATCGATTTCCAGTAATTCTATTGGCTGAAATTTTTGACGGATGAATTTGACAGATAAAATTTCTGACAGATGAATTTTTCAGCCAATAGAATTACTGGAAATCCATTCAAGGTCATTACGCCCGTTACGCCGATACGCCGCTTTTAGGATAGTGTGGCTGCACCCTAAAAGTGGGGACAGAAATTTCCTTAGACAAGGAAAGAGAGGGGACAGGTAACACGGCAGCTGAAAGCAGGGTTCGGAAGTAGTTAATTAAGACGTAATTTACCTGATTAACTACGTGTAGTTTTTCTTCAAAAACTACGTCTTTTCCCGTTCGTTAACTACATGAAAACTACGTTAATAAACTACCTATTGATATTATGAACAATTTTACTTTTATATGAAGAGTACGTAAACTAATATATCGTTCATTTTTGAGTAATGCATATACAATTTTGTATTTTATAGTCTCACCTTTATAATATTAGAATATCTAAGTCGATAATGCAAAATTTATTTAACAGTCAACAGTGGACTGATTATCCAGACAATTATTTATTTATTAACGTGTGTATAATGTATAATTAAATAAAAAATAATGTAATAACATATGTTTTAAACGTGTATAACTATATACTATATGTTTATATACTGTATGGACGAAAAAACGGCGTCTTGTTTGTTTGGAAATGACAATTTCACAAATGCATATTAAAAATTACATTATTCATTGAATCCAAAAGCAAGTGTGAAGGGAATTGACTAGATTGATTATTATAGAGTATAATCGAAAAAAACGACGTCCAGTTGGCTTGTAAATTACGATCGATGATACTCCCCATATAATTCTACATATAAAATTACATAAAAACTATACAAAACGACATCGAAAAAAGACGGTGTCAGCGATGGCTATGAAATGAAGATCGCTGTCATTTTATATGTAAAATTATATGGGGAATGTCGTCGATCGTCATTTACAAGCCAACTGGACGTCGTTTTTTTTTCGACCATACGGTATAATAATAAATCTAGCCATTCCCCTTCACACTTGCGTACGGATTCAATGAATAATGTAATTTTTAATATTTGTTACCTTCACTCATAAGAATATCCTAATTTTCCAAAAAAAAATAAACAATTCTAGAAGCTTTGTGTTATTTTATTTATTTTTGAATTTTTATTAATTACTCACCGAGACTATTATTATACACCTAAATTAGCAAATTTCTTGAAAGAATATTTAAAAAAATATATGTAGTAACAAGTAGCCCACCACAAGTTTGTCCACCCCCAGCAAATCTTAGCAGGTAAATTTAAGTTTTATATAACAACTATACATATAGATTTTTTATCACTAGAATTTTTTATTTTTTTTATAGTTTACAATTATTTTACATATTTGATAACAATACTTTATACATTTTTTTACATGTAAAATATATCAAAAAATGTTTATTGCAGAAATTGTATTTCTCTGATTATAATTCCCTACGCCACTGGAGAAATCCATGCTGAATAGCATTATTTATAGTTTCAAACATTAATTATAATAAAGGATATTGAAAATACTACTTGGAATTATTCAAAATAGTTTGGTTTGGATGTGGTACAAAACATATTAAAAGCATTTTACATATTTTTACTGCTATAATGAAAAAATGTACATTTTATGACCACATAACAAAAGTTGTGTATCGATTTTTATCTGTGAAATGTAATTCCAGCCACTTTTCTCTCGCTTCGGCCTTTGCAGCCATACGCTGAACATCTCACCATACTAAACAATACAGTTTATAAATTTAAAACAAAACAGTTGTCACAAAAAACATAAAAAATCTCTCGGTGTCACCTCGAAATCTTGTCACCTAAGTATGGCCGCCGATCGAATTTTGGCCTCACTAACCAATCACGGGAGAATATGCGTGTTAGCTGTCCCCTCCCTTTTCTTGTCTAAGCAAATGCAAATGACAAATGACAAGTGATGTGACACTCATGACACTCATTTCATTAACCTTAGTTCTTAGTTTTCGTTGTGTGATTTTGTGATTTGTATAAATAATACGAGTAATTATAATTTTATATGAATATATCGAGGTAAGTAACAAATTAAGCACATCATCTCGTCATCTGTATGCAGTATTATTAATTCGTGACGTCTCTAAAATAGATGAGCAATTCAACAAATATGGTGTACTCTGATCGGGAGAAGATGCTATTGACTACGTTGGTAAGAGAAAATCGGCTTGTAGAGGATAAAAGAGCGGACGCTGCGATGATAGCGGATAAAAAGCGAATAAAAAGCATCCCAACAGTTACGTAGGTTGTGGATAAATTTGAAACACAGGTACTTAATAATATTCTTTTTTAATAAACCTCTTTTGTACCCTTTGAATCTGTAAATAGAAGCATAATGAAAAATCTAATTTTGATATTAGGACAAAAGTCTCTTAGGGTATAAACATACTAGGGCATCTCGATGCGATGCATCCTACGCGCACGTTTTAAGCACTGTTTTAAAACGGCTAGTAAGTGCGCGTAGGATGCATCGCGGCGAGTATCGCATCGAGATGCCTCACTATTGTTTTCACATTATTAGTTAATCAAGCTAGGCATCGCGATCGCGATAATATTTCTTCATAATGATTAAGATAAAATCATTCATGCATCATTCAGCGTTCCGAGTTTCGAATGTTCTGAATAAGTTACACTGAAACACAGTAAAGCGATCATTCATATGAACGAATCATGATGAACGGATCATTTCAATGAATGACCTGGTGAGACACGGGTCACGGGAATGAACCGGGTCTTCCCATCCCTACTATGTAGGTACCCTTTGAGATCCTTTTACAGGGTTGTTCACCACATATGACACGGAGTATTGTAGCTAAACTATTAAATTTTTGCAAATTGTAAATTTTGGGTTCGTTGAAGGACTATTAGAGCTCCAATTTTAAAACATTTTTACACATATACAGAGTGTCCCAAATAAATAAAAAATATCAAAGTTGTATTTTTTGAATGGAACACCCTGTATATTATTACATTTTTAGTTTCTAGGATTAACATAAAGGTAAATTTGATTAAGGTTTGCCACATTTTAATCTTACCGTTTTTGAAATATTTAGGTTTTTGTCAAAATACAGTAATATTTTAATGCTTCATTCTAGGCGTATTTAAGTTTTTAAAACCAACTATTGTACTGAAGTATTTACTAAATTTTGTGTTGCAATAATAAAAGTTATACTACCTTATACAGAGTGTCTACAAATTTATTTTAAACTAGTTGAAGCCTGGCGCATCCGCCACGACATCAAGAAAAAAAATTCTTTTTATTTTTTGAATTAAATGAAAAACAAAAAATCCAGCGACGACAGTTTTTAGAAGAGCCAAGTAGCTATCTTTTAGTAAAAAAAGCAACTTTCTAGGGCAAGTCGTTACTTCAGTAGAGACGACACAGATAAACATTAGCATTTTATATATGTAGATAATTACTATCTTTAGGGTAATCACTTGTATAATTTAAATGGAACACCCTGTATATTTTAGGATAATCAGATGCACAATTTAATTATTGTCTATCAAATTGTATTATACCATTTTTTACCTATCCCTTCAAGTTTTCGTAAAAAATGCATTTTCTTATAATTTAGTCCTCATTTATCAATATACCCATGGAATATTGAAATTTTAGATTATTTTTAATGATGCAACAAATTTTTAAAGAGTACAGATACTAATATTGTTGATATAGTTCGTTTATTTCATTAAAAATAAAAAAAAACTGTTTAGATATTTGTTAAAGAGGACCAATTAATGATTCTAGTATTCAGTATTCAAATTACATTAATTTACTGTTTGCGTTGATTAATAATAATTGCTCCAAATAGTAAAAAACTGAATTTTGTATGTGTATTAGACAATGTGGAAAATAAATCACCTTCAAAATTTTATTTTATTTTTTTGACGAATGCTTATTTATAACAACAGAGACTTTCATTTACATAACCTATTATTATATTGATTCACAAAAAATGAAAATGAAAAATCTTCAAATCCAGATTTACTTAGAATAATTTATTAACTAACACAATTAAGTATGTAAATAATTAATATTTGGGCGGAAATAATGGTGCTATATTTAATTAATGGTATACTCTTTTATAACGATTTAAATAGTTTTCTTTTGAATACAAATGGGCTAGTAATATTATCCTTTTTAGTAGCTGTATATTTTGTACATTTGTTGCTTTAAAAATAATCTAAAATGTCGATATTCCATGGGTATATTGATAAATGAGGTCTAAATGATAAGAAAATGTATTTTCTAGGAAAACTTGAAGGGATAGGTAAAAAATGGTATAATACAATTTGATTATACTGATGGTATAATACAATTTGATCAATTTGATTAAATTTTGCATCTGATGATACTAAAATATACAGGGTGTTCCATTTAAATTAAACAAGTTATTGTCGTTTAAAGCTAGAAATTATTTAAAATAAATTTTTAGACACTCTGTATGAGGTAGTATTATTTTTAGTATAACAACACAATAACTGATTAATAAATAAACTTCAGTAATTGTTTAGTGTTAAAAACTGTGATACCCTTGGAGAAATAAAGCCTTAAAATTTTTACTGCAATTTCACAAGATCAAAAATGTATATAAAACGGTAAGGTTTAAGTGTGATAAACCTTAATCAAATTTTTACCTTTAATTAAGAAACTAAAAATGTAATAATATACAGGGTGTTCCGTTTAAAAAATACAACTTTGATATTTTTTTGTTTATTAGGGACACTCTGTATCTTGTAAAAATATTTTTAAATTGTATAGCCCTAATAGTCCAACTAACCCAAAACTTACAATTTGTAAAAATCTAATCGTTTAGCTATACAATGCTCCGTGTCGTATGTAGTGAACAAACCTGTATACAGGGTGGTCCGAACTGTATTCCGGAAACTTTGGAATCATATTCTGCAGATAAAAATAAGTAAATAAGTTCGTATAAATGTATGTCCTAAAATGCTTAGTTTCGGAGATACAGGGTGTAGAAGCTTTCGTTTTATTTCGATTTTTTTCAAATTATTTATGAAGTAACGTCAATATTTGGATGAAAATTGGTGTCTGGGGGTTTTGTAACACGAGAAATTTGATTTTGATGTCAAAATGGCTCCTATTTGTAGAGGTCGCCACCTACATGTGTTGTAACTGTTTTAAAGAGTAATAACTTTTCGTCTGTACCTGTATAAAACTACTGACTGAAAAAATAATACATTTCCATGACTTTCTACGTAAAAAATATCTCTTGGTGAAAATCGCTACGAGCAACCGTTCTCAAGATATTTAAAATGGAAAGTCAATAGATGTCATTATTGACAAAAAATAAACACACGTGTTAAGTATAGTTATTTGACTGAAATAATAAATTTTTATTTTTTTAAATTAATCATAATTTTTTTTTGCGAAAAAATGATAATTAAACAGTTTCTGTTGAACTTTTAGTACAAAATTATAGATTTCAGTCATATAACTATTTAGTCAACCTATTTAATTTATGTCAATGATGACAGGTATTGATAATTTGGATTCCAAATATCTCGAGAACCATTATTCGTAACGATTTTTATCAAGAGACTAAAAAAGTCGTAAATGTATATCTTTTACTCAGTAGTTTTATACAGGTATGGACAAAAAGTTATTACTCTTCAAACCAGTTATAAAATATGTAGGTGGCGCCCTCTACAGGTAGGAGTCATATTAACATGAAAATCAAATTTCTCATGTCAAAAAACTCCAAAAAGACGCCAATTTTCATCCAAATATTGACGTTACTTCATAAATTATTTGGAAAAAATCTCGAAATAAAAACGAAACTTCTACACCCTGTATCTCCGAAACTAAGCATTTTAAACATACATTTATAAGAACTTTTTTAGTTATTTTAATCAAGTTTCCGGAATACAGTTCGGACCACCCTGTATAGAGAGCATATATACAGTCATAATACAAAAGATAATATAAGTATTTTATTACTCTATGCACTCTATTTTGTACTAGAAAGATATCATCATTCTATCATTACTCTATAATATATTAGTTATAGTATCTATTTTTATTCATTAATTTCTATCTATAGTCTGTCCAACGAGAAGATCCTTGACAGTGATAGATGTGTCTATCATTTTTAATTTCAAAGTAGTTTATTTTATTTTACAAAGGAATAAGTTGGTACAACTGGAACGCATAGCAGGAAATTAATATATGTATTTAAAATTTGACTGACAAGTAACTTCAAAATATTGTGAAAAAAACTGTATAAAACTGAAAAAATGTAATCGAGTTATTTTATTTAATAAAAAACGGTATGTGTTAATACAAAACAAACAAAAACATAACACCACATACCAAAAAATATAAAAAAGAACTATTTCTTACTTTCAAGCTTTATGAAACTTCCCGCATTTATGATTATATTTATCAATATAACTTATGTACAAATACAAATTTGTAATATTCCGCAGGAATGAATAAAACAACACAAATAAAACAAACTATTTTATTAATAATAACACTTACCAAATTTTATACCTCACAGGTTGATTAATTAACTTTAATCTTAATTTTTTTAAACCAGTACCTTTTGACGTTATTTTTCTGCAGTACTAAAATCCATTATTTACCTATCGTGTGATGTCGATAGTTTACAGCTACTCCAGTTTTTAGTATGTGTTTAGTATGGTCCTTCTACCATATTCGAGATGCACTTATCTACGACGAGATGGTATACGAACTTTATTGATAGTAACTTTATTGGTGTGTCTGTATAAGACTTTCTGCCTGGGCAGCGAGTATTAACCATAAACTGTGCTCTGGGTTCTACAGTTAATTTTCACTCGATTTTTCCTCCACTTGACTTCAACAGACACAAAACACACCTAATAACACGAATCAAAATGCATCATCTTCCAAAACGCAGGGTATTTGACAAAAGTTGTCACAAAATTATAACCGATAATTTGGCAAGACTTTGACAAACGTCAAAAATCTCAAGGCGAGTTCAGGGTGCAGCCACACAATCCTAAAAACGGCGTATCGGCGTAACGGCGTAACGACCTTGAATCGATTTCCAGTAATTCTATTGGCTGAAATTTTTGACAGATGAATTTGACAGATAAAATTTCTGACAGATGAATGTTTCAGCCAATAGAATTACTGGAAATCTATTCAAGGTCATTACGCCGTTACGCCGATACGCCGTTTTTAGGATAGTGTGGCTGCACCCTCATACGCATCGGCGTCCGTTTGTCGTTCATCGTTCCGTCAAAGCAATAAAATTG